GAATGATTGGAATTTCGCGATCTTCGCTCATTTCCATTATTATGAAATCTGCAGGGAAAGTAAATTTGTACTTGCACTAATACATCACGAATAATTCCGTTTGAAAGTCTTATTGATTTATCTGCAAGTTGTATTACAGTTCTGCATGCTTCCAACTCATAAAGCCCTAATTTACTAAAAAGCGAAAAAGGCATAAGATTGATACTAGCTCCTAAATCACATAATGCCCTAATCGGTTCTAGATTTCTTATAGTACAAATAATGATAAAACTCCCAGGATCGCTTAGTTTCTTCGGGAGGTCCTCCTTGAATACGGCGCTGCACACACTTACCAATTGTACCATTGCAGCTTCCTCAAAAAATGCCCGCTTTCGATTGATTATATCATTTACGAACTTAGCGTAATGTGGCATCTGCGACAAAGCATCAGCAAACGGTATAGTCACTTTAAGACTACGGAAAGTATGTACAAACTTCTCAAATTCCCTGGAGTTGTCCTTCTTCCCAAGCCTAGCTAGAAAAGGGGCCTTGGCTACAGACTGAGCGGGGGCCTTTTCCTTCTATTCAGGTACCCGAGCAGCTGGTATCGTTCGCGGATGTGAAGGACCTTCTTCCTCGCTTGGAATTTGTCTAACTTCATCATGCACAGGTAAATTAGCAACAATAGGAGTAGAAAAGAAGTTGATACCTCTGTTTGGCAGTGGTAGCGATTGCGTCTGCTTTTCACCTCTTGTCTCGACAGCCTTCGCTTGATTCGGGATAGTCTCGACTATCCTAGACAATGTTCCTTTTTGCTTCAGCTTCATAACTTCAGCTATCTGCCCGACCTGAATTTCCAGCATCTTGATCAAGGCACACGTGTTACGTTGGAACTCCTAATTTGCGTGCTCGGTATTTATCCAAAGCTCCTCCAGACTCAACGGCTGTTGAGCTGCTGTGGGAGGTTGAGCAAAAATAGGTGCCTACTGTGGAAAGTGGGGCGGGCCTAAAAGTATTTTTGTTGTGGATAGAATCCCCCCTGATAATATTGTTGCGCAACAAATTGTTGTGGCTGTTGAAATTGTTGCTGAGGACGCGGTCCAGCGGGCCCTTGAGCACCCTTTCTGAAATTGCTGGAACTGAGGAGCATTTCTATTCACCATATAGAAAACCTCCGCTGGGTTTTGAGTCTGCTCAGATGAGCTCTCAACAACCTGCGGGCTAGATTGGTTGACATAGGCGCACTCATTAGTAACCGTGGCCTCACTTACTACCTGTTTTCCCTTGTTACCGAGGTCCTGCTTTACGAGCTTGGAAAGCTCTTTAATTTGGACCAACAAGATGTCAATCCGTGCATCTTGTGAGACCGAAATGGGAACCTGGTAAAGATCCCTCGATGGCTCCGGCCTGTTGGTCTTTGGAAAACTTGTCTGATTGGACGCCATCCTTTCAATCAAAGCCCTCGCTTCTGAAGCACATCGCCCCATCAGCGAGCTACCTGCTACTGCATCCAGGGACATCCTCAACTTTGGAGTGATCCCTGAATAGAAGATCTAGAGCTCCATGAAGTCAGTGATCTCATGATGAGGGCAGTTGCGGAGCAGTTGCTTTTAGCGGCTCTAAGCTTTGGGCAGGGTCTCATCACCAGCCTTCTTGAAACTTAGGATCTCATTCCTCTGACTGATGATCTTTGACACAGGATGGTATTTGCTCATGAAGGCCTGCGCTTCTTCCTTGAATGTGGCAGGAACGGGGTAGAGGTTATCAAACCACTTCCTTGCCTCTCCTGATAAAGAAAATGGAAACAATATTAGTTTTGCAGTGTCCTCCGTCATGCTGTGCGATTTGGAGGTGACAGCGATTCTATTGAAGTTCTACAGATGTTCGTATGGGCTTTTATTGAGCAGCCCATGAAATTGGCTCTGGCTAGCCAAGCTTACTAGTGCAAGCTTCACCTCATAATGTCCACAGTCTCTGGGCACAGAACTTGTAATTAAAGTGCTATCCATGAGGGACTGATAGTGAACGTCCATAAGGACTTCAGCAAATGGGCGATCAGCAGCCCTCTGTCCTTCTTGCCTCTGGTTAGGCTCAGCAGTAGGTGGAGAGAGAACGGTGATGGTGGGTGTCGCAGCGGTGTAGGCGGCTTGAGCTGCTTGGGAAGCGATGAACGCCCCCTTGAGCAGCTTGCGTCTTTTCCACCTGAGCAAGGTGCGCTTGTAGTGCAGCCATCCCTTGCTGAATGTTGTTGAGCGTCCTCACGAGCTGCTCTTCAGTAACTGTTAGGACGTAGGGAACAATAGTTCGGACTACAACGGGGATTTGGAGCGGCACCTCCTGTGACGATGCAGATGTGGCAGAGTTAGAGGAGGTCCCAACGAAAGTCTGGAAAGCTGGGACGGTAGTAGAGGGAGCAGTGACATTTTCTTGGTTTGCCATGATCCTTACTCTTGTAAGTTCTCTAAACAAACATCTTTGTGAACAAGAAGAATGAGTTGGACTGGTAGAACGCTGAAGACGCTTCGGACCCCGACATAAAGATAGCCACATCAAATGAAAAAGTCAGAAATGCAATAATAAAACATAAAACAGCAAGACAAAGTTAAAGGTTAATTATAGTGCTTCACTAGATCTTTCCAAGATTTAAGTTCTTGAGTTTAAAATCCCCAGCAACGGCGCCAAATTATGACACAAACGATTTTTGCATATTCAAATATAGGGAATTTTGTTCGATAAATAAAGTGTAATGGGTTATTGAGAGCGATCAGATATAACAAAAAGTTTGTAGTTGTAGACCCTGAATCGTTTATCATAATTTTTTATACTTTTAACTGGTGAGTTTCCAGGTCGAACACAGGGATTTTAAGTCGCGAAATTAATTCATGTTTTAATCTAGTGAAAACCGCGATAAGGCAGTAAAGAGACCCACTCGAAAGCGAGCCTGAATCTAAAACTAAGAAAGCTGAAGAAAAACTAAAGAAAGTGGTAAGGGCGAGCGGTGGTGAGCGGAGTGATAGTAAGTGGGGATGGTGCCAGCGATGGGTGAGCGGTACGGGCATGAGCGAAGTGGCACAATATTTCTATAGATCGAGTGGAGGAGGGCGATAGAGAGTTGTTGTGTCTGAATTGTGCATTTCTTAATAGCTAGATTATCCTGGATGAAATGAGCGAACGATGCTGGTTTTTAATCGAAACATATATGTATAATGCGAAAATGGCAGGAGCGAGTAAGATAATCATATAAACCAAATCATAAGGAACTTTGATCGTTGATACTTGACCTTAAAGAATTTACAAAAAGACTTCAATGACACCCAAAATCAGAATATTATAAGAAAGAAACTCTATTGTCACTAGGAATTCTGTGGCCTAATAGACCACCACCTATGCCCCATTAACTATTCCAATTTCTGACTCATTAGTGGCTTTACCCTTCTGTTACCTCTTTTTAATCAAAATCGAATTTAGATCAGTAACTAAGCAGGTTGACAAGGCTCCCGCGTACTTAACTACATTGAACTACCCTGAATTTGTTTGTGACAAAGAAACAAGGCTTGGATAATCAATTTTTTTGCGTTCTTTCTCAGCGATTTAGAGTTCTTTACAACTAAAGTTTATATAAATGTGAAAATAGGGAAGACGTGAGGACGAAGAACAAGTGATATTTCATTACTTACTACTAAAACTGTAAAGTTTTATTTCTACAAAAGCTGTAAATCAAAAGGTAAACTAGAACTAGGGAAGCAGTAAAGTGGTGGCCAAGGGAGAAGAGAAATCTCAACTCCCCTGGCCATTTCTGCTGAGAACTCCCTTACAGGGTTGGAACTCTCGGAAGGCAGGAAGGTAGCTAAGTGTGTGAATGAATACAATGCTTCTATACTCCTCTCTAAGTATATTTTACAAACAGATATTTGGCCCTATTTATAGCTTATGGAAGTAGCAGTTGCGAGCAGTTGAAAAGTGGTTCCAACCGCTGAGCAGTTAGGCAGTTGAAGGCAGTTATTCATTTGAAGCAGTTGCTGGCTATAATTCCCAGAGTGCTCGCCTCTCTTGCTTCGACTTGTAAGGGTGTAGATCATCCTCGGTCACCCAGATGGTTGGAGGGCATCAGCGCAACTGAGCGGAGATCTATGGTGGCTGACAGTGGAATGGCTGATCCGTTGTGGGTTGGACACTTAGGCATTAATTTCAATGAGTTGTCGTCGCTCCGCTGCGGTGGGTGTCTGGGTCGCTGGCCTGAGCGATGAGGTCGTCGCTTGCGAAGGGAAACAACTATCGCTTGCCTCTCGTGTCTTTGCTTTTCTGGGCCAGAATCACTGTTTAAAAGGGCAAAAATTGTTAATAATCTTAACAAACCAATTTTGGATCATGCCAAGCGGAATAGATCAATAAAGTATGCAAAAAATAAGATATTATGACAGTTTTTATACAGAAATTCAAGTAATACATAGTTTTGTTAAGCAAAGAATATGTTCATATTTGAAGTCATTACATAAATTAAGAAAAATAGTAATTTAGTACTATTTATATGCTTTTTTGTAATGCTAGACTGAAATTTTATAGGGTTACTAATTTAAAGTTTGGGTTAAAGTAGAATGAGTGGAAGAAATATGTGAGGTCCATCCGTGGTACTTGTGTAAATAGATGAAAAAGTAGTGCGTATAGATTAAAAGAAAAAAAAATGTTCTTTTCGTCAAATAACAAAAGTTACATTGACCTCTTATGTTATTGTACTTACAATAAAAATATTTTTACATTTGTATAATATAATAATTATACAAATGTCATTATATTTGTATTATAAGATACTATAGAAGTATTTTTTTTATCTATTTTTCTTGATTGGTACTATATTTTGATATAATAATTAATATCGAAAGATCAAAATACAAAAAGTAAATATAACTCTTACCGGACAGAGGGAGTATTTTTTATTAAATATGATATGAACACACTTTTGGTAGATAAATTAAAATGACAAATGAAAACACTTTTACAAGACAACATGAGTATCACTCACATTAAAAATATGATATGAACACACTTTTGGTAGATAAATTAAAATGACAAATGAAAACACTTTTACAAGACAACATGAGTATCACTCACATTAAACAACAAATTAAAACACATATAACAAACTTTCAATATTTTCAAATTATTTTGGAAAATACGAAATAATCCCGAACTACCAATGATATATATGATTTTATGTATAATACACATAGATGGTATATTCCAAAATCCCATAATTCTTGATGGGATCAAATGAATACGTATTCGAGATTATATATCCACGAGCCATCCGGAACACACCGGTCCCTCCAAGAACGGGTAGTTCCCGTTTCTTTTGGTTGACTGATAGCCACCCAAGGACAGACAACGTGCTTCCCTTAAACTTCCCGAGAGTAAACACAAAGTTCATGCTCAACGTCATTGCCATTTCCCGTAACCCGGTTGATGCTACCATCCCTTGCACACGGCCCACCTCAAGCGAGTTTTTGTTAGGCTTATTAGTGAGCTTGTGATCCATAACCACAACTTGCCCTAATGATCGATAATTTGTTGTGATCTCCGCTTGTGCAACCTCCCACACCGTGCCATTGTTACCTCCTACGTCGTGGACATAGAAATGGAGGACTGCCGATTTCTTCGCCACGTGTAGTGGCGGGGCATAGCGGACCGGACCAGCTGTGAGTGGATCGACTTTTCGTCTGGTGAATGCAATGGAAAGAGGAAAAATGGAAGATAAGAGAAATGAAATGAAGAGAAAAGCAATGTATAGCTTAGCCATTAGGAGTTAGTTCATGTAAAAGGTGGAGTCCTTGCGATTTGTGCAAATGTCGAGGGGTTATTTATATATGAAGATTTGCGAATTGGGGAAGAAAATAGGGTATGAAGAAAATAAATTAGAAATATGTTTTTGCATGTTGAAGAGTACAAAGTGGATTGGGGGAAAAATATGTGAGATTGAAATTCGTTGTCAAGTGATTTCAACAAGCTAGGATTTAAAATTGATTGATGATATTTGGTCAAACTTTGAAAAATATATATTTAAAATAAATTTAAAATGTTGTGTTAAAGTATTTCGAATTTTTTAATTGAATAAAATAGATTTAATATATAAGTATTAGGTAGAGAATAAAATTCTATAAAATATAAATAAATAATATATACTCTCTCCGTCCCAAAAGATTTGTCTTGTTTTTCTATTTTCGTCTGTTCCAAATAATTGTCTTATTTCCTTATATAGTAGCCGTGGTCTCCACTTTATAACAAAATTATTCCTACTTTTCCATATTACCCCTAATTATTATTCTAACATACTCTTTAAAATCCTTAAAAAAGCAAGGACATTTTATTCATTTATATTCTACTTTATACACACTCTCAATTAAATACTATTATTCCTTAATTTCCGTGTCAACTCTCAATAAAACACTTCTTTCTGGACGGAGGGAGGAAGTATGATTTAATTTTGTATAAAGATAAATGAATTAAAATACACATAAATATCGCATATATTTATTGACGAAAAATAAATAATATTATAAGTAGTCTAAATCTTGAAAAAAAACTTTATATATACATATATATATATATATATATGCTTTTAAAATGCATTTATGGTTTGAAATTCACTTAAATAGGGCGTTAATTTAAATTTTTATTTAAATAGTAATTTGACATAATATTTTATAAAAAACATAATACTCCATATTATTTACATAATAATTTGATATTCGCTCTATCGGTCTCTAAGATCACAAATATTTTTATATTTATATAATATTTTTTATAAATATTCTATAATATTATAAGATACTAATAGAAGTATTTTTGTAATTATTTTTTTAAATTTGTACTACGTTTTGATATAATAATTAATATTAAAAAATCAATACGCAAAAAAATAAATAGAACCCTTGAAACTGGACCGAGATAGTATAATATTTTATTAAAATCCGCACCAGATTAATATAATCTATTTCAATATAAAATTATTGAAATGCCAAACAACCAAACCCTACCCATTTCCAGGGGAAATTAAAAGATACTAAAACTTGGACAAGATTAACAATTTGCAATTAAGTTACAATATTTATATACTAGCATTTAACATCTAAAATATTTAAAGTTATTATATTGTATAATAATTGTATATATATAAATATTTTAATCATAAATTCATTTATTCAATATAAGGCCATCTCTAACCACACGATTCTATTTTTAACTCCAAAAATGCAGTTATAACTCAAAAAATGCAGTTGTAATTTAACTTTAACTCACAATTCCATTTTCAACTCCAAAAATAATTTTCTTTCAATACAACATCATATTTCATATTATTAAACGACTTAAACTAAAAAATTCATCACAAAATGAACAGTTCATTAATTTATCCTTATTAGCACAAAATCTGCATGCTTAAGAATTGAGCAATGAATTATTAACATTGCTTAATTCATGGCTGCACTGACAATTTGAATTAAAGTAGGCGTGGCAAAATCGAACTCAATTTAAAAAAATCGAACCCATTTGATTTAGAAATTTTCAAGATTAAATTGGATTCCGAGTTGATCCAATATCCCAATATAAAAATCAGGTAATCAGATAACTGAAATCCAAATCCAATATGATTTTATAATTAAAATATTTTTTATTTATTTTAAATTATATTATATTACAAAACAAAATAGTATTATAAAAAATTATACTCATAAAAAATAAACAATATACTAATTATTTAAAAAATAATAAAATAAATATTAGGTATATTTTTATTTTTCTGTTCTTTTATCTTAAAAGGTGTTTTTATTTTTTGTTGTTTTTACAAGAAAGTATCGAATTTCGTCCAAAGATGGGGAGAATATCCAACACAACTTACACATGCTGAATCTATTAATATATACTATTGTGAAGATATTATTAATTCAATATTTGGTGACAACGAAAAATCAAAATTAAATAAAACCAATCTGCATGTGCTGTAGCTTTCAATTGTGACTACGCAGTTGATATCAATTAAATTATGAAGATGTCTTGTCTTGTTTTAAAAGGGATGATTTTGATTCAGTACTCCACTTGTAAAACAAGTCATTTAAGCTTAAATCGATTACAAACCCAAACAAAATCAACTTGTCCTATCTCACAAGGACAAATAAACCATATGCATTAACCTATGAAATTCGAATTCGTAAAAACAACAAATTAAAAATTTGTTTGAATATCATATTTTGTATATAAAACAAGAATATAATTCTTTTTAAGAAAAAATAAAACGTTAAATATATTATTCTTACGTATAAAATTTATAATTAGGTTAAAAAGCCCAAGTTGAAAGAAGATGTGGGCTTGTAATCGGGTCTTTTAGACTCTTTAAGGGGGTATTTCAAAATAATCGGGTAAACTGAATGTTTTTTAGGAAAGTCCGCAGGTCGGAAGATCCGTAGGTCGGAAGGTCCGCAGGTCGGAGGATCCGCAGGTCGGAGGGTCCGCAGGTCGGAAAGTCTGCAGGTCGGGAAGTTCGCAGGTCGGAAGGTCCGTAGGTCGGAAGGTTCGCAGGTCGGAAAGTCCGCAGGTCGAGAAGTCCGCAAGTCGAAAAGTCCGCAGGTCGGGAAGTCTACAAGTCGGACGGTCTACGGGTCGGTTGGTCAGTAGGTCGGATGATCTGCAAGTCGGGAGGTTTGTGGCTGGACCAACAAGTCGGGAGGTTTGCGGCTGGACCAACAAGTCGGGAGGTTTGCGGTCGGACCAACAAGTCGGTTGGTTGGTGGTCGGATAGGCAAGTCGGTTGATACACAATTGGATGAGCGAATTGTGGGTTGTTTTGGAGGTCGGATGCTGTGGAGAGCAAGTGAGAATAATAGCTTGGTCGGCTGAAAACACGTGTCAGCAGAGGAGGAGGTAGCGAACGGGTGAGAGAAGATGTTGTAACCGTTCGGGCGACGGTTCCAAGTACCGTTTCTGAAGAATATTTAAGGATTGAAATCTGCGACCGAAAAAAAAAATCTTCAATCATCTTCATACGACAGCAAAATCAGTGATTCGGGGATCATCATTTAAATTTTCAGTCTTTTATTTTCCAGTTTATTTTCTTATGTACCGTACAGTATTTAGAGATTCCTAATCTCAAGCACTAATTAATCAAGTTCCAAGATAATCTCCTATTTTCGGATTTTACATTTTATTTGTTGAAAAAATACATCAACAAATTGGCGACCACAGTGGGAGAAAGGCAAGATTGTTGATCCTACATCATCAGAGAATTTCATACGACTGAGGTCCGGCCGAATCATCCGAAAGATCACTATGGCAGGCTCACAACCTCAATCATCATCAGCACCGGTGGGAGAAAATATTTCATCACCTGTCATGCCAAATCCGGGGGAGATTCCCCAACCACCTACCGATTGGTTGTCTTATGTTCAACAATTGAACAATCAGCAAACTATGGTTATGCAGAACATGTTGCGAGAGCAACAGAATCTCATGCAGAACATGTTAGATCAAGCTTTATCAAGGGTTACTCTTCAACCCACTCAGACGCCGCCAGGAATATCACCATCAAGAATGAAAACAAATTTCGCAGAGGCATCATATGTTGATAGCACACTTCCAAGCGCCACAACGTACAACCGAACAGATAGGGGAAAGACTCCTTTAACTTTCCCTAATAACGTTCCTTTGGAACCAAGAGTTGACAATTTGCACCCAAGCGTTCTTAGGTAAGAGAGGCAAGGAGCACATGTGCGAGATCCCATCTTCATCCCTGATCATCAACAAAACCCCCGTGTGGATCCTGAAGAGATTGTGCAAGTGTTGATGGTGCATTTTGGTTTGAATCCTCAGATGGCCAATCGTCCCGCTTATCAAAGACCTGTCCCCGAAAGGATCATTAACGATTATGCACTTCCAAGGAATTATCGACCACCTGATTTCCATGCTTTTTCAGGGGAAGACGGATCCTCCACCATAGAGCATGTGGGTCATTTTACAGCATAGTTGGGGGAAGTGGGAAATAATCCTTTTTATAAACTGCAATTGTTTGGATTATCTCTTACCAGAACAGCTTTTTCATGGTTTGTAAATTTGCCACCTAGGCAAATACAAACTTGGTAAGGTTTGTAAATGGCATTCCATGCTAGATTCTTCAATCCCTTACCAACTGTTTCTCTTACTGATTTATTGGAATTGAACCAATATCCAGAAGAGTCAGCCTCACTGTTTATTGAAATGGTGCGATTGATGAAAGGACATTGTCCTACTATAATCAATGAAAAAGAAATGACCAATTTAGTGGTCAGGAATATGCATGGCCGCCTAAGAGAGGCACTCACTGCTCATGATGTTGAAGATTTGGCAAGTCTCGTTGCCAAGGCTGGACGTTTAGAGTCTCTTTTTAGAGAAAATGATCAAAATTTCAGGCATAATAAAGTTCAACATATGGCTAGTATGGAACAGAAACATACGACTTTGATTATGATCAAACAGAAGAAATGGCGGCTGAAATCATTTCGGGAAAACCTTATGTGTGCTCTAAATTGAAGCCAGTGCTAGGAACTGAAGGAAGAGAGCAACCTACATTTGACAGTTCAAAGGCAGATGAAATTTTTAATATTCTGCTAACTGACGGCCAGATTCAGATTCGAAAAGGGCAAAGGTTGGCTACTAAGGAAGAGATTAAAGGAAGACCATATTGTAAGTGGCACAACTCGTTCACACACAATACAAGTCAATGCACTCATTTTCGGAATGAGATCCAAAAGGCCATTAAGGCAGGTCGGCTCAAGTATATTACTTTAGGTGTAGAGCAACAACCTTTTCTAAAAGTAACCA